AAGGTGTTGGTGGCAGCAGCCCAGCTGATATGTACTGTATCTCCATGTTGACGTGACAGCCAAACAGGAACAAACCAGATGAAGCTACTAAGATGGAAAAAAAGCAGAAAGAACATAAAGTTAGGGGTTGAAGTAGCAAATTCTGGAGAATGTAAGAATAGAGAAGGAAGTCTCATAGACTAAAACTGGTTATTTTGGATGATCTTTCCATTCTACTTTAAGACACTCTTGGAACCACTAGTAAACCTGCAGCTTGTAAGCAAAGTGCTCTGTTAGGAAAATAAGGAATGACCCGATCCCTGATATAAGAAGGAGCATGGCCATTTAAGGCTTATAGGAGAAGAGGAGTTTGAATTCTATTCTGGATTAAACAGAAAGCCCATGAAGAGAAGCTAGGATAGAAGAAATATGATCTGCTTTTGAATTTTCATCAGAACTCTACTACTACTGCTACTACTACTACAACTACTGGCTGTTGCATTTTGGATCAGCTGGAGGCTTTAAACTACAATTTGTAGACTTCTTGATAGTAAATAATTACAATAGTCTAGCCTTGAGGGAACATGTATATGGACTAGCTTCTCAGCATCAACCCTGGGCAATATATTTTCTGATCTTTGCAATATTCTGGAGATGAAAGGAGGAAATCTCTTTGATATGGGATTAAGGTGACAAGTCTAGGTAACACCAAGTTGTTTTAGTTTATAATTTCTGAGCAATTTAATTAAATTCAAATAAATTCACTGACTAATCCAATAATTTTTCAGAGACTGGTCTAAAACACAATAAATTCTATTTAGCCTGCATTCAGAAGCAGAAAGTTATCTAGATTCTGTCTTTAATGCATGCCTGTAGTCTATATAAAGGTTTAGTATCATCAGGATTAATGGAATTATATAACTGAGGATCATCAGCATAGCAGTGAAAGTTAATACCAAGCATCTAATTATTCTACCAATTTGGAGCATATATATTGTAAAGAGATGTGGTCCTAGCACTGATACCTGTGGTATTCCACAGGTATCTGGAGGATGTGGAAGATTTATTATTAACATGAACAAATGGAAACCTGTTACAGAACTAAACCAGCTTGAAGTTCTCTTACCTACTAGAGAATGTTCAAGTGTTTCTAAAAGGCAGAAATATGGATACATATATTCTACAGTAGTGGCCCCCAACTTTTTTTTTTTTTTTTGCGCCACGGATTGGTCTGTAGCAATAGAACTCTCTGGTTTCTATGGTAACATTAAAACATCTTAAAATAACCCATCACAAAATAACTTGCATTAAAGCAGCCTACCTACTAATCACAATTTCAGTGAATTAGTGGGAGCCCTGAGATTGTTTTGCTCCAACGAGATGGTACAGTAGGGATTGTGGCTAAGATACATCAAGGGTGAGTCATGGATGGATGTAACAGAGGAAATATTAAATACCATTTAGACTCGGGAAATAAATAAATGGGAAATTATTAAAGTTTGTTAATGCTTTTATGCGTTTCATTACCAAATGACACACAGACCAGTACTGGGCCAGGGATCACTTATTCAAAAATATACACTTTATATACATAGTGGGAAGAAGTTAAAGAAGTCAAAAAGTGTTTGCATTGTTCTACATAAACTAAATGGTCATCTAGAAATCATTTTTTGTGATGCCCATCTTTTCTGACTTATTATTTATTATTGACTGTCATAGCTGCATGTAGAGCTCCTCACAATACAGCAGTTAAGCTGCTTATCGCAGCCCGTTCTCACCTCAAGCCCTGTTCCGATTTTCCGTTTCCACATAAAAGTTTTGGAGCCACTGCCTGACACAGATGGAAAGGAAAATTCAGGCCTCATATTTTCCTGTCTCTACCTGCAGCACAGCGAATGTTATGTATTTTACTAGAGCAGCTTCATTAAGCATCAGCAGCCAAACAGTTTTGAAGGATTGGGAGGTGGGGGTATTTCCCCTATACTGCAAATTGGAAGCTTATGATAGCGTAACATTTTATATATGTTAAATATCAAACCTGATATTAATAAATATTTATAAAAAGACTGACATTGCAGATTCTGATTTTGACAGATAAAGATTTCTTTTTATAACTGATACTTTCAGCTTTTAACAGATCACAGACACAAGATGTCTTAATCTAGTAGTACTGAAAATAAACATTTACCATTGTCTTTGAAACAATAAAAACTTCTGAAATAACTGCTCTCAGATTTAGAATTAAAGTTTAAGGCATTGTCAGTGTGTGGTTTTCCGACCTTTACAGTGATAGATTAGATTGGTGGAAAAGGTCAGCTTCACATCTAAGTATCTACAGTTTACCAATCATCAAAAATTAAGAAAATTTAGGCTGATAAATCGGTAAAACCGTAGCCCCCTGCTCTACCATGGACCTGGGACAACTTACCCGATCGTTCCCCCAATTGGCAGGCATCCACACATGTGGTAATAAAATGTGCCCATGCAATGTGCTGGCATATGCTTTAATATAAAACCAGAATATATTTTTTGTAGCAATATTTTTCAGATTTTTGATCTTCTCCATTGTGATCTGTATTCATTAACCAGGTTTTGTGATTGCAAAGAAAAATCGCCAGGTAAACACACTGTGAGCCCGACCGTGTCCCTTCTTATTCTTTCTCTGCCAGTGAAAAGCAGGGGGTTGGACATTGGTACATTCTTGATCTGTACTGACTTGATGTGGAGATAAATGCTTGTTTTCATCATAAGGTTTGCTGATTAGACAAAATGACTCATTAAAAGCTTCAGGTAATGCTTTGCTTCACTTTGTCACTAGGCAGAGCTATCTTGTAGTCTCTGGTAGGACACTTTATATTCTGTCAGTTAATTTAAAATGTTTTTGCTGTTAGGATTACCAGAATAGTTTTTTCCTTTTTATTTTTCAATGTATGTTATGGTATTGTATGTTGCTCCACCCTCTATAACACGTGCTTCTGATGGAAAATAAAAATCAACAAAAGCAAACAAAGAAAACTCCCACTGTGAAGGAATCACATGATTGGAAAGTAGATTTTTTTTTTTATTGATAATAGACTTTTAGGCGGTTTAAAATAATAAAAAAAACAACTTTATTTAAATTAAAAATTTAAAATAAATTAGCCAGAGAGGATATGCTATAATTAGTACTGGGTCTCGCCATTAATAAAACATTACGATAGAGTCCATGACTGGGGTAGCACCGAATTAGGAGTATGCATACTGTACTCACAATTCTACCTGATAAAAACGGCCATTAATAACATTTGTTACAAGAGATGTTCCCTTGAGTCACTTGTGTATTTTGCAGCTTGATTGAAATCTTACAAATAAGAAGAATAAGATCAAAATAATAATAATTTCTATGACTGAGTGTTAGGGTCTGGCTAGAGATTTTTTTTTTTTCTATTTCGACAATAAAGTGGTAACATTACAAGAATAAAGTCATAAAATTACGAGAATAATGTTGAAACATGAGAATAAAGTAAAAAATTATGAGAATAAAATCATAAAATTATGAGAATAAAGTGGTAACATTAGGAGAATAAACTCATAAAATTATGAGAGTAAAGTCGTAACATCACGAGAAATAAAGTTATAAAATTACAAGAATAAAGTTGTAAAATTATGAGAATTTAGTCGTATTATTAGAAGAATAATGTCATAATATTACGAGAAAAAAGTCACAATAAGAATATTCCCAAAATTATGAATGAGAATAAAGTTGTATTTTATGACAACTCTTACAAGAAGCACTGTTGAATAGCATGGCACCCTTGAAGCACAGATGAATACCATGGTACCTAGACAGGGTTACCATTTGATTGCAAGGCAAAACAGAGACTAATAGCAATGTTAACACACTTTCGCATTAGGGCAATTCGGAGTCACCAGTAAATATTAAAGTCTTGTTTTTTGGAGTGTGGTAAGAGAAGCCATGCATGCACGTCCAAAACTTCCAAACAAAAAAACCCCTAGGCTTGGAATCATATCTTAAAATATCAGACTGATCCAGAGAGACATAGGCCAGCAGCCGATTTGGCTTGAAAAAAACAGTATTTTAGGAACTCTTAGAGTTTTAGGGATGACCAGGAATCCTCAAAGACAAAACAAGTGAGCCCCTACAGAGCAGTTGCACAGCTGAGCTTGAGCTGTCTAAAAGAACCTGAGCCAGCAAGGTGAGGCCACTGCCAACAGTTCAGGACCTAGAGATACCCTGGACCCGCCACAAATGTTCTCTGAGCATCCAGACCCCGACAACCCAAACATACCCAGATTCCCTCAAAAATCCTGCAAGTCTCTGACTCTGGACTTTGCTTGGAAGGCTGTTGTTAACTTCAAACATTATTGGAAAAATAGGAGAATCTGCTTATCCTAAGCTCCAGGCCATTTGTATTATTAAATAAGCAGTTTATTGGAACATAAGGGTTTTTGGTAACAATTCCCATTGCATCTGTTTACAATAATTATAAGCATATGTCCAAACTTCTACCCAATATGCATATGTGAATAATACGATGTGTCATACAAGCTAACAATTATTCTGTTGGATTTAGGTAATATGACAGACGTTTTCTGTCAAAACACAATTTTCCTTTTCATTCCCACAGAATTTCAGATGAATAATGATTCCCTGTCTATTATCTGATCATATACAGTATTTATTTTTATAAACCTAATTATGACAAGCTTGACAATTTGCAAAAATAATTTGTGCACAAAATAAAGAATTTTGTTAGCGGTAGGAAACCAGTTTTAAACAAATCTGATTTCACATCCAGTATTTATCCAATGTTTTTAAATCAATTATATATAACTTTATTTCTATTATTTTACAAGATAATCTTTTTCAGTAGACACTAGTATGCAAAGCTTACAAAATGGTAAAAATAATGATTTGAGGCTGGTAAAAGCATAGCCTACAATGTAATGGATAATTTATATGTTTGTATTATTGGTGCAATTAATAGTTATGTGTATGTTTGCCTTTTTCCTCTTTGCAGCTCCCTCCAGAACGATGACGATGATGAGGTGTCTAACAAGACATGGGTGCTGACTCCAAAAGTCTACGAGAGCGACGTTACACACATCCTCAACAGCCTACTAGATAGTTACGATAACAAGCTCAGACCTGACATTGGAGGTACAAATTGATTTTTTTCCTATTTTCGCAGTTGATTGATTTTTCCAGGGAATCATTAAAGAAATTGTTACCGTGAATGACAAGAAATATCTTATAGCCATAAATTAAGAAGTGGAAAGGGACTAATTAAAAAGCTTCTCAATTGCATTTAATTTAATTAATTTATTTATTTGAATTAGGACAATGCACATTCATCAACATGTCAGCGTAATGCATCAATGTAAATATGCCAGAATTAGCACAACAGCTAAATTGCATCCGGTGCCCTAAGGCAGATATGAACAGTAAACATTAAAGAAGACACTACAGGAGAGAACAGAGTACACACAAACAGATAAGATGCAAATAACAAAAAATCACACTAAAGTTATGTGAACAAACCCAAGGAAAGAGATATAGTTACTGGTGAACACTTGTCTGGTTAGTTTTTAAGCAATGTCTCAAGGAGGTTTTAAAACTTTCACAGCTCCTAATATGGGCTACAGATTAGTTTGTTCTAAACAACTTGTATTTCTGAATTTCAACATTTTTATTTCCAATTTTCTTTAATGAATTACAGAAAGGATTAAGATTGAGTCACAATACATTTTAACAAAAATCATTTGTGGCTACATACTATGGGTATTTTGTATTTGTGCAGGCTCCAGATATCACAGAATGTAAAATGTTTTGACTGGTATTCTTGCTATTTATAAAATATATTTAGTAGGTTAATGTACATGTGTGTATTATGCCAAGCAAAGCTATTCATCATATGCCCGTAAGCCCGGAGACAAGGTACTTACTCCATCCTCTTTGACAGACAGCTGGGGAGGACTTGCTTGTCTGCATATGCCTATCACATCCATCTGCGAGCGCAGTACAGGGAGATACAGAGTACTGTTGAATGCTTGATTCATGAGACAGCATTCCTGGGAAATCTGGCTAAAATCAGGAGCTGTCACACACTGTCCTATAATGATGAAGCCCTGCCATCATAAAGCTAACAGCGAATTAAGCATTTCCATTGTAAGACTTGTTTCCCCCTTATTAAATTTAATTTAGTTTATTTGAATAGTGCAATTTTCAACATGTCATCCCAAGGCAATTTACAGACATAATTTAGTTGAGTCATGGAGAAAGACCTGTTAAGGTTTCTGTCAGCTGATTGCATTAAGTCAATTACTTTTCAGGATTCACTCCTCATGGATGATCGTTTGGCAACAGTAGACGTTTCCCTGTATTGAGTCTGCAGCAGGCCCTCACACCAAGCTTGCATGCAGCGACAGTGGAGAGGAAAAACTCCTTTTACAGTAAGAAATCTCTGCAGAATGAGCCTCAGGCTTAAGAGCCGAGGCCAGCTGGGGGATCAAGGTGACAGAGGCAGACCAAAGTTGCAGAAGCATACCAGCAAAACTGGTTTGCGACCAAACGCAATTGACATTTGATGTGTGCGGTTGCAGAAGTATTATCCGCCCTTAAGACACAAAGATACATAAACTCCTCTGGTTGAGACAAAGTCTAACTCCCCTGCCCAAAGGAAGCAGTCCACCTTTTTATGTTGGTAACCAGGGCCTCTTGCTCAGACAAACTAACTCTTCACCCAACTTTTTCAAAATCTGCTGCAAACTGATGTAGTGCCTGCTAGTGACCATGGTGTCCTAACAAAATACCTCAGCATAGTCACGAATCTTCTTGAAATACACATCCTGTATGCATAAGGATGAAAATAAAATCATCATGACACCTTGTGAATGGCAGTGTAAAAAAAAAAATTGGTCCATAGCTCTATGACAAGTAGAGCTACTGTTCCCCTACAGTAAGTGGTTCAAGTA